CATACTTTATATAGTTATCGTAGGTGCTTATCATATTTATGCACTGTATATTTAAATGTATATATAAAATAGCAATAGAATAAGGCGTGTTGCAGTATACCTGCAGTGCATTAGCATTTGACCGTATGATGAAGTGCAGCAGTGTACCAGACCAGCAGGGAGTGGGTCTGTAGAGGAGTTCATGTGCAGTCAGAGACAGATTGACGTACCGATCCAGACGCATTTCCAAGCAGATGGAGAGAACGGCCTTGAACCAATACTTCAACAGCTACAGGATATAGATCACTGACCGAGCCGCTGACACGTGGCCAGCATCAAAACATGGCGAACACACAGCGTGTACAACTCCCGACTCCCTCGCACACGCCTACAGCCAGAAGAGACTGAAGCAAGCACCTTTTCAAAGTGATTGTAACACCTGTAACCTTCCTGCCGATGTGGCTCTGATGAAGATTCAGTGCACACCTGAGCGGCTAACGTAAGTATTAAATGAAGTGACCCGCACTCTCTCCCCGCTGCGACCTCTGGTTCTGCCGAGTGAAGACGACGAGGGTCTTAAAACCTGCATCCCCTGTCCTGACCAGCAGGTTGTACGGAATGACTTTTCTAATGTACTGCATGGTGATCCTTTAGTAAATGATGGTCCGTTTAGAATCAAAAAGTCCATGAAGCACAGTAGGATTGGGGGGGGGGGGACTGTGATAATAACAGGTGACCTCTGCTGTAAGAGACTAACTACCTTGAGAAAATACTGTCAACAACTGTAACTATATCTAATAAACACAATCTTTATCTGAAACATTAGACATTTTTGAATTCTCAACAACTACACAGCAAAATCTGTTAATTTTCCGGCGTTAGCTCTAAAGTGCAGAGTCGAAATCACATTGCAAAAAGTGATTCAACTGTTACAAGAGTCAATTGTAGGAAAGAGCTGGAGTCATTATCCAGGACTATATAGAGTGTATTTATTTTGTATTTGACACTGCTTTATTTATTTGCGACACTTAGTAGAGATAAATTAACTCTTTTATAGGTTTGAAATGTAACTGTACACCCGTGTCACACTTCTATTGGGCTTATCTCTACGTACAGTGTATTTAACACTTATTCTGAGTTAAATTGTTAACACTTCGTTGAGTGTTGACTTAACACTGACATTTGCTGTGTACCTCCATGACTACATGGTTAAAGAAATATACAGGTCATGCAGTGTTTACAATGGGCACAATTAGATGTAAACTACATCATAACTGTCATCCCGTATGTTGACATCAATATCACCCAATGTGGAGGTGACAGTGCACTGACTGAAAGCAAAGTTATTCAGCTCTATTTCATGCACAATTAGGTGTTATAGTAACGTTGGGACTGATCGTCTCGAGGTCTAATGATCGGGAGCCCAAAATGCCACTGAGGGTAATTGTGTTAATGTGCTGACGATTAAGCCTTTAGTCCAATCCGCAAGCCAACTAGTTATTACTCAATCGCTACGGATCTAATGCACTGTGAGTTGGTTTGTTATTTGTGGACCACAACATGAGGCTTCGGCACGCTGGAACGGGGACGGGTCGCCTGTTGAGCAGGAACCAGAACAGCTGCCGCGCTAGTTCTGTTCTCATCCCAAAGTTCTGTATCAACTGGGGAGCCTTTTATTCCCTCCATGTTGTGTTTATTGTAGTCCAGAATTAACAAGGCCACATTAGCCGGGGGGGGGACCAAGAAGCTCACAGGCTAGTTATTCTTTCAGTGTGTTCTGGGTAAATGGGAAGTGGACGCTTTTCTAGTCTTCCGACCACTCAAAGAGTTTTTACACCCCCCCCCAGTCAGACGTACCTGGAGGGAGGCGTTTGAGCAGAATTCTAATGTTACTGAACTGTATGTCTACAATGAGACATAAACTATCCCCACAGACCAGGAAATGTACACATTGGAAAGCGTTGGAACGAGCAAAAAGTAACAAACCGGACCTTTTAGATATCCATCGCGCCTCAAATGGCTGGTCCAGGTATGTATGACTATGGATGACTAGAGGCTGGGATTCTATTCCATTACTCGGTACAATTACGTCTGTGTATTGTCTTTGCATGGATTAGCCTTACAACGTTAGGAGAGCAGCGTTCAAGGCCAGGCGAGATGTTGCCTCCACGTGCTCTGGATGGGCCAAAACAGCTGTCTGCATGTGAAGACGTGAGGCAAATAGTCAGCTGGCCACGACTAATGATCACTACCGTTACATCTTATAGGTGACTACCATCTATATGTCTTTTTTTAATCCTGTTTCAAATGGATTTTGCCTTCTGAGCTAAGGAAAGCGAATGGGACCGAATTGTTACATCGCAGCACAGGCAGTAGCATCTGGAACCTGAACCTGGACCTGGACCTGGACCTGGACCTGGACCCAGCAACATTCACGAGTGCCCAAATGTTTCATATGATGTTTATGCCGTCGACATGTAAATGAAGGGTGGTTTTCAAATGAAGTTCTTTTCATTTTAGTTCAAAGAGAATACAACATGTCTGCTGTATGTGACATACGAGTGAGAGTACGGTGAGCTCTATTTATACAGTGGGGCAAAAAAGTATTTAGTCAGCCGCCAATTGTGCAAGTTCTCCCACTTAAAAAGATGGGAGAGGCCTGTAATTTTCATCATAGGTACACGTCAACTATGAGAGAGAAAATGAGAAAAGAAAATCCAGAAAATGTCATTGTAGGATTTTTATTGAATTTATTGGTAAATTATGGTGGAAAATAAGTATTTGGTCAATAACAAAAGTACATTTCAATACTTTGTTATATACCCTTTGTTGGCAATGACAGAGCTCAAACGTTTCCTGTAAGTCTTCACGAGGTTGTCACACACCGTTGCTGGTATTTTGTCCCATTCCTCCATGCAGATCTCCTCTAGAGCAGTGATGTTTTGGGGCTGTCGATGGGCAACACCAACTTTCAACTCCCTCCAAAGATTTTCTATGGGGTTGAGATCTGGTGACTGGCTGGGCCACTCAAGGACCTTTAGGTGCTTCTTACGAAGGCACTCCTTCGCTGCCCGGGCGGTGTGTTTGGGATCATTGTCATGCTGAAAGACGCAGCCACGTTTCATCTTCAATGCCCTTGCTGATCTCACGATACATGGCCCCATTCATTCTTTCCTTTACACGGATCAGTCATCCTGGTCCCTTTGCAGAAAAACAGCCCCAAAGCATGATGTTTGCACCCCCATGCTTCACAGTAGGTATGGTGTTCTTTGGACGCAACTCAGCATTCTTTCTCCTCCAAACACGACGAGTTGAGTTTGTACCAAAAAGTTCTATTTTGGTTTCATCTGACCATATGACATTCCCCCAATCCTCTTCTGGATCATCCAAATGCTCTCTAGCAAACCTCAGACGGGCCTGGACATGTACTGGCTTGAGCAGGAGGACACGTCTGGCACTGCAGGATGTGAGTCCCCGGCGGCGTAGTGAGTTACTGATGGTAGCCTTTGTTTCTTTGGTCCCAGTTCTCAGCAGGTCATTCACTAGGTCCCCCCGTGTGGTTCTGGGATTTTTGCTCAACGTTCACGTGATCATTTTGACCTCACGGGGTGAGATCTTGCGTGGAGCCCCGGCTCGAGGGAGATCATCAGTGGTCTTGTATGTCTTCCATTTTCTTATAATTGCTCCCACAGTTGATTTCTTCACACCAAGCTGTTTACCTATTGCAGATTCAGTCTTCCCAGCCTGGTGCAGGTCTGCAATTTTGTTTCTGGTGTCCTTTGCGAGCTCTTTGGTCTTGGCCATAGTGGAGTTTGGACTGTGACTATTTGAGGTTGTGGACAGGTGTCTTTTATACTGATAATAAGTTCAAACCGGTGCCACAGGTAACGAGTGGAGGACAGAGGGGCCTCTTAAAGAAGAAGTTACAGGTCTGTGAGAGCCAGACATTTTGCTTCTTTGTAGGTGACCAAATACTTATTTTCCACCATAATTTACAATACAATGTGATTTTCGGGATTTTTTTTTTCTCATTTTGTCTCTCATAGTTGACGTGTACCTACGATGAAAATTACAGGCCTCTCCCATCTTTTTAAGTGGGAGAACTTTCACAAATACTTTTTTGCCCCACTGTATAAATCAAATGTATTAATTGAATATAATGTTAATAATGGTATTGTATGTCAGTATATCCCGAGGCTACCTGACACGTGCATTGTCATACATATGGTGCTTGTCGATATCTAACCCTTCACAAAGCGTCACTAATCAGATCTTTTTGGAGGGTGGACACGGGGACAAATTGACATATTTCAGCATGACAGTGAGACTCGATCAAAGGAAAGCTGAAAAAGGCCAACGTGGTCCGTGGAGCAGAGAGGCTGATACTCTTTGGCACTCAGAGTTATTTCACCAAACATGAGATAATGGTTCAGCTTTAAAATGTTGGGGCCTCGCTCGCTCCGATGTGTCCTTCCAGTGCAGATGTTTTATCGGATCAAGCACCTTAACGGCGCTGCAGCAGCCTTTCTTTCTCTGGCAGGATACCGACACCGGGTTTATCATTCTACGATTTCTTTTCTTTTTGGGGGGTAAGAAGAAAAACTGAAATTCTCAAGGGCAGTTAACACAAGTTGGTCCCGTCACTCCGTTGTAAGAGGAGCAGGACCCGCGGCTGCAGTGAGCTGAAGCAGATGCAGCCGCAGACTCCGCGCTGCCAGTCAGCACCGCACTGCGCTCCGCTTCCACGCACCGCCGGCGCGCACACGCACAGCCCCTCTGTCTCCCTGTCTCTGTCTCCCTGTCTCTGTCTCCCTGTCTCTGTCTCCCTGTCTCACACAGCAATGACACCTCGCTGGTCCCCCGGTGTCTTGGTCAGTCTGTCAGGCATGATGCGGACTCACTGACCGATGACTCCGGAGGAGCAGGAGTCCTTAATGCGGTAAACTCCCAGCCCAAACCACGCGCACGCTGCTCACACGCGCACGCGCGCACACAACCGGAGCAACACGACGCGGACTTACAGTTCGCAGGAACTGGATTTCATCCTCGCCTTCTCCTCCCTCAGCCATGGTTAGCCGTCACGCGGAGACGCTCGAGCGGTGTCTGCGTGCGGACGACGGGCCGGCCGGGGTGCGCGGGGTGCGCGCGCGCGTTTGGTGCACGCGTGCGTTGAGCCAACGCGCAGCGGGAGTCGTTTCTCATTGGGCGGCGCGCGCTCACCGAGGGAGGAGCTGCACAGGTGTGCGCGCGCGTGGTTGCGCGTGTACGCGAGCAGTTTGCCAGCTCTCTCTCTCTCGACCGTTTCTTCCAGTTACCCAACAATAAATAAGAGATATTACGCTTACATGGAATATGTAAATTATATATATAAATACACATATATACATATACATACATATATTTCAATTTTTTCTAAATCAATTGTGTAAATGAGAGGGTCCCATGTTGACTGCATCAATCACTGCCTTGTTGGCCCGGTAAGTAAACAGCAGGGGCCCTGTGATGTTCTTCAGGTGGGCCGACACCAGCCTCTCAAAGGATTTCATGACCACAGGCGTCAGGGTGACGGGCCTGTAGTCATTTAATCCTGTGATGGAGGAGTTTTGGGGGCCGGGATGATGGAGCAGCATTAGAAGCAGGATGGGACTTCACAGAGCTCCAGTCATCGGTTGAGGATCGGCGTGAAGACGGGGGGGGCTAGCTGGTCCGCATAGACCTCGATGCAGGAAGGCGACACCCCTGGAGTCACGTCCTCTTCGCAGAGCCTCAGTGCCGGTGGGGTCGGTTGTAGCTCCTCTTTGCAGCCTGGACCTCCCTCGTCAATGTGCTTCTAACCTGGTTGTACAGGATGTAATTGTTTTGGTGTTGGACCATGTAAAATCACTTAAACATGATAGCAGTGATGTTATGAAATATGATGATTTAAGATGTGTTGTGATTAGAGTGTATCAGCTATTCGATGATAATATTATGCATGCTATGTTGTGTTTACATGAGGAAACTCCAGACAAATAATGAGGGACAGTCAGCAGAGGTTTCAGGTCTCAGATGGAGGCAATAAAGGAATGTCACGATGACCAACGTGGGAGGAGGACGGTAATGAGAGAACGGGCAGAATCTCTGGAGATCAATGCTTTGAGGTCAGAATCGACTGTGTGGAAGAAGACTATTTAGCAAAACACTATACTAGTCATTCCGCATTTCACTTTGTAATTGTATTTGCTTCTGTTAGTTATTAAATCCTTTTCAATAACAGGCAGGGACGAAGGGAAAAGAGAGCTGAGCCTTTGTTCTGCTGATAGACGGTTGAAGGAGTAAACGTGCAAACACAGAAGGCATTCAGTACTTTTAAAATACATGCGTACATAATATCTACAACTACTTAGACAACATAAATATTCTTTGGAAAGAAATCAATAGTATCCCATAACTATGAATAATTTACACTTAGGTTTATACTGTAAACATTGTTCTCTAACAATTATGTTTTTCATTTCCATAAAGTTGACAGGAAGGAGAAAGTCGGTGCAAAATGTACTGAAATATACTGTAGTTTCTGCACCAGCAGCTTCCTTTCTGATGCTCCCCGATTCGGAGTTTCCCCAGACATGGTAGAGCTGCTCCAGAGCCACACAAGAAATTAAACTTTTAAATGCCCCAAAATATCATCATTATTTTCCTTAATGGTGGACTGGAGAAATACTCTGACAAACAGAAATGTGTTATAAGGATTTATTTTTTTTAAAACACTGTTCTATTGCTCATGTTTCACAGTATTTGCAATGCAGTCAGTATTTATCCATAACACCTTTATCCAATACAAGAGACAAATAATTAAAACAGTTTTATAGAGACTGAGCTCAGCCACTGCAGCACATCAGGGCTTTAAGACACATGTGAAGTGCATGCGGACAATATCTTACGGTAACTCTATTAGAATTTGTACCCAACACCTTGAATGAGGAGATGGCCATATAGACTATATAGACACGCAGCAAATGAAATACCTGGTTAAATTTAAACAACATGTGGAAGTTAATAAAACATACGGCATAATGAAAAAATGAGGAATAATATCGATAACTTTGTCATACTTCCCATGCACCTCTTCCACAATCCCCCCAGAGTAATTACATAACAAATAGACACAACTAACCAATACACTATTTGGATCTGTGGTTCCACTGCTCTACAGGGTGAAACAAGATGGCAAAGGTTTAATTCGTTGAGTGTTGTCTCAATAAGGATTGACAGAATTGAAAGAAAGAACAAAATGAATGAAATGAACAAAATGAAATGATGAATTAGTGACAAAAGTGAAAAAGAAAATTGCGGCTGTTGTGGTTATGGTGAAAAACCTTGTAGCTTGCTTGGGAGCACGTTCTGTAACCAATGGATGGTATTAAGGATGGTAGCTAGAAGCTAGACGTAGCACCAACGCATGGTAACATTACCACTGCGTTTAGTGGTTACCATGGTTACCATCTTGTCCTACCTCGCTACGTTGGGTCACAATATCTGCACCAAGACCAGAAGCAGATTTGAATTGCAATGTACATTCTACTTCTTCTGCATTTCTATGGCATCAAAAAGAGTAACTTGTACCGTGGATCTGTAATGGCCTCTCCAGTGGAGCGCTGGCCAGCGTCACTACACCTGTAACCAGTAGAATAGCAGCAACATGAAGGAGGGGAGAATATTTAATCATTGTGCGAATTATATCGTTCTTATTATTATTATCAATGAAATATTTTGCTTCATCCTTAGTCATTTTATATTTGGTAAAAACTGTAAAAACCAAAAAAAAAACACATTTAAAAACGTGGCTTTCAAGTAATCACCATTAAATGATATATTACAGTACTTGCCTCAATGCAAAATGTTGATGTGAACATGCTTACACAAAAACAATAAAATAATGAAAATAAAAGAAATAGGGAAAGTTTAGTTTACTGTGGGTTTGTAGTGTTCTCAACTGGCTTTCATGCATATTGGATTTGGTTGACTGCCAAATAATTAGTCAGCTCCATCAAATATAAAATGGAAAACTGTCCCTTATCGACAGTGAGCACTTGCAACAAGTCATGTTTTCTTTCTTTGATCCAACCACATCCTGACTGCCGTGCCACAGACATGAGATTGATTCTTTTCATTTTAATCTAAAAGAAAGCAAATGGGGAAAATCTTCCCAAATTTGACCCCCCGACCCATAATGCTTTGTCCCCCTTTCAATGATTTTATAAACTGCATCGATTTCAAACCATCTCAACATTCATAAGAAATGATAAGATCTGCTAAAGGAGACACATGTGACTGATGCAACGCCGACAGATTATTTCCCTCTTTAAATCATCTCAGTCATTTAATAAAGATTGGATGATACTTTCATAAAATACAAGCATGTGCATAGTATTGGGAGGTGTGTCATACCCTTTGACACAAAAGGACTGAAAATAAAACCTGTGTGTGAGCAGCGCGGTTAGGACCCCGGGGGGCTACAGACTGTTAGTCCACTTCACCCACTACGCCTCGCTGTCGTAGCCCAGGATGGGGGCCAGCCACCTCTCCGCCTCCTCCACCCCCAACCCTTTCCTTGCGGCGTAGTCCTCCACCTGAAGACAAGAACAACACAAGTTCAGCCAGATTACGTGTCTGAACTCCTCTTTACAAATCCTCCTCCAGAGTATTTGCACATTTTTAGACTTGTGCAAATACGACTATAGAGACTATTTCAAAATAGGTTGAAATCCACGCATGTCAACAGATTCACAGATTCTGTCGTCATCTTGGTGGTGATTTTTAGGCGGCCAAAATGGTTACGTTGAACTTTGGTGAAGGGAACAAAATAAAGAGCTAAAGTTCTAAGAGAAAATCATAGACAGCTCGTAGGCATGACAGACTAACCATTTAAACCAGGACTAGAATACTCCTCTTTATGGTCCGCTTTACGCCTCCAAATCAACTTCTTCACTAAATGAACACCAAACAGTATTGAACACTTTAAAAGAAAAATGTAATATTTGGTGGTAAATTATATACAATCAATACATATCCAATGTATTTCTTTCATCTTGCAGTATTGAAGAAGACTTGAAACTAGAGATTGAGACATTAACCTGAGGAATTAAAATGACAAAAGAATTAGGGTCATCTTCTCATTGACTTTAAACAACCAGACTTGTTTGTGCAAGCAGAGTCGCCGCCCTCTGCTGGTCAGTAGAGAGAATACAACCTTTAAGCAAGGCACGGTTATATCATCACATTATATTATAATCATTATACAATATTAATGTCCCATTAATCTCACAATCCTGTCCTCAAAGTCCTCTACTCTTCTTTAACCCATCAATGGAACATGGACTGTGCTTGTATGTCTCCATTCTATTCTTCAACCCACTCAAAGCGCGTCAACACTAGAGGTCATCATTCAACCATTCACACGCTGATGACAGGAGCAAACGCAACGGAACCGTCTTCCGACAAGCTCAATATCAGCCGTGGACTCACAAAACAGCAAGATGCACCCATGGTGATGGTCTAGTATTTATGAGTATAGTTATTTGTAGTGGTTAAAAGATGAGGATGGTTTGCCAAACCTGTTCCTTGGTTATCTTGCCCACGGCGAAGTACGAGGCCTGAGGGTGGGAGAAATAAAGTCCAGACACCGAGGCCGCAGGCATCATGGCCAGTGACTCTGTGAGATAAATACCTACACACACACACACACACACACACACACTTTCATAATCATACTTCAACAATTGGAATAGCTTTGATTCGTATTAACAAATATCTCAATTTGTTTCTTCTTTCTATACAACTTGTATGAGGCTTTTATAATCTCATTTGATAAAAGATGTTAATCGGTACTAAATATCCACAAAATTCATATATATGTATATATATATATATATTGTCAAATATATTGTTGATATTTGGGCAGCCCTCACATAAACCTGTTACCTATATTTCCAACGTTAAGGAAGAACATGTGAATCCTGTAAGGGCCTGATTTGGATTCCTCCCATTGACAACCATGAACCCCAATGTCTTTATGTATTGGTTTCATTAGTGAAGGTTGTCAATCATGGATCTCCAAACCACCTTTTATGTGTAGAGAAGAAAGATTGAGGAATACACCTAGTTTCAATGGCTTCTTCTAGAAGGTCTGAGCCGCGCCTCAATACCACCAGCCGTGTGTGACAGCAAAGTGCCTGATGCCCTCACCGGTCTTCTCCTGGATCCCGGCCAGGCTCCACATGGTGCTCTTCTCTGTGTGGTCGGGCTGACTGGGGTAACCGGCCGCTGGTCGGATGCCCTGGTATCGAATTCTGTGGAGGTCGGAGGCCTGCAGCGCCTCGTCAGTGCTGTAGCCCCACAGCTCCTTACGCACGCGAGCATGGAGCTCCTCGGCAAAGGCCTGGGGGGGGAGGGGAGGGGTGGGGGCGGGTTGTAGTAGAGTCTGCAACACTGTTATGGAGCAGGAACGGAGCTTCCCTACTGTACCTCAGCCAACCGGTCAGCCAGGGCTTTGACCATGATGCTGCTGTAGTCATCTCCCTTAGCCAGGAACTGCTGACTCAGCTCCTCGGCTCCAAACACGCCCACAGCGAACACGCCGACGTAGTCCGTCACGCCGCTGTCGGCGGGGGCAACAAAGTCAGACACACAGAGGTAGGGCTCTGAACTGGAGCTGTCCTTCTCCGCCTGCAGCACGCGCACACACACACACACACACAGGAAATGTGCGACTGTTACTTTGGTAATGTGTCACCACGCATTTCTGCCTCCGTCGTGAAGGTCACATCCAGAAGCAAAAGGCTGGTGCTGAGAGGTGGATCTGTGGCGCTTTGATGGACGATGGACACAACCAGGTGAAATGTACGGCAGCGGTCTATCAAACTCACTTGTTGCCGTAATCCGTGGAATGTGGCGATTGGCTCGGTGTCCGGGTGTACCGCGGCATCGCCTTCATAGACGCGGACGTCGTCGCCATCACTCTGGGCACGCCAGAACCCCACCAGGCCCCGCCCAGTCAGACTACCGCTGTCAATCATCTGGTTGAGCATCTGCTGGGCCTCATCAAAGACTCGGCGAGCCTCCGCACCTGCGGGAAGTCAAATTCACGAGAGGTCAGACATGTTTTCAGCTGCAGGGAGTTTCACTGACTCACTACATTTATTTATTTTAGCTTTCAGGATGATGTCGCTGGTTTCACTGCACTAGTCAAATTGAAAAATGCATTAAATAAAATATATTAAATAAAAATAAAAAGATTATCTGATGAATTGCTTAATTGAAAATTTGAATTTCATTGGGATTTCCTTTTTTTTGGTCAATAATTTCATAATTTTAGGAATTTAAAGCTGCATTCTAAAAACCTTAATATGCAAGGCTCTTTTTTGCTAAAATAAAACATCTTACTTTTAACCATGAATACATGTATATATTGTTATAATGTTGCAATAGATTTGAAGAAAATATACAATATACTACAGTATTGAATTAAATTTGAAAAAGTTCTCATATTTATCATATATATCTGTAGCACCATAGCGGTCGGTGACATCGAGCTCTTACCAACGGTCTTGTCCTTAAAGATCTTGGGGTAACCTCTGTTGGGGTATTTTCCCCTCAGCTGCCACACGTCAAAGAAAGGCTTCCAGTCGATAAAGGCCAGCAGGCTGTGCAGGTCGTAGCACTCAAACACACGGGTGCCCAGGAACTGAGGACGCACTGGAACAGAGAGGGAGAGCACGCGTGCCTTTCAAAAGGTCCATGCAGACAGCTGGATGCCGCTACATACGATATGTGGATCATCCATCACATGGAACGAATAACATATTCCATACGGCTCCAAAAGCCTGTCTTTACAGAACGATGGGGTCACAGCATTACTGACACAATGAGGGTTGTTATCGCATGTTGCTCGGCCCCAGTGAATTTAAAAAAATAGAAATCAAAAAAACACCAGCTGACGTTTCACACAATTTAGTATCAACAGGTGAATAGTAACAGGGGCTATTTGAAGCTGTAGGAGACCAGTGCATCTTACTTTAAAGGGTTTGCTCAGTATTTGCTCATGTTTTATTGTGTAACTGACTAATGTGAACAACAGCAATCAGTCCGTAATGGAGGGAAGCTCTTGACCTTTCTCTTGGTCTATTTGTCATGTCATGTGACCTGATGACGTGGGTGTGGGACCGTTGAGTTTGTTGGATTGTAGAGCAGAAAGCACCTTTGGGTTCTCTAAAGGACGTTCCATTTCATGACTAAATGGTTGTTGGATATTAGGCCGGATTTCAGGATGAGATTTGTCCATAGCAGCTATTTAATGACCTAAGATGTCGTATCCGAGTAAACTCACCTGGTGGTGGCGGAGACAGCCAGTCGATATGTAAAGCCTTGGCTCTGGCCTGGGAAAGAGACAGATACCTACGATCCTGAGGAAACAGAGGCCACACATTTTAAACTCAACTTATTTTGAATGTTTGGGCAAACACACACCCAACCAACTGTAAACGATTCATGGATATCGGCAGAAGCCACCTGGTTTACCGGCTAGAGCAGGAGGCCATCAGAGGACACAGAGGTGCGTGTGTGGCAATGTAGTTTCACAGCGTCACGGCTGTTTGGATGCATCATCCTTTTCCACAACTGCTCTTTTCTACAACGATTTGAAAATGTTCTGCAAAGGCAGTTTTTTTAGGTCACCATTGACGACTGATGCTGCAGAAAGTCAAGTGCTAAAGGAGTTAATGAGGGGGAAGAGTTTCGACCTTCTGTCATCCGTTCCACACAGACTCAGGTAACAACGGGACATTTGTGTGATTTAAACCTTTCAGATTACACTTCACTAAACTGACAAAACTAGACTTGGAGAATAAACATTCATTAAAACGCAAGCGTATCGATTCTGAGAGAAACACTTATAATAACATCTAATAACATACATCAGGGGTCTTTAACTAAAATGTGAAGAGGTCCAGTTAGAGAAAAATTCTAGAAGCAAAAGTCCGGAAGATCATAATGTGACTACTTAGTGTAATCAAATAGTTGTATCAACATTTGCATGTAATCAATACACAACTAAACAAATCAAATGAATTCACTATGATTATAAAAGTCTTTTGACAATATTTATTTATTGTCAAATAACTGAACATATTTGTGAGACTGCAAATATAAATAATGTTCTCTCGATTAACTAAATAAAAGTAGGGCTGCATTTAAAAAAATAATATGTTAAAATTTCTGCATGTTCAAATAAAGTGCTTCAAGTCAGAAAAAATAAAATAACGGAAAGAAAAGCTTGAATTTCCCCTTTTCTGCATCACATTTGGACTCGACAGTCTTAGAAAATCATAAATAATAAATCTAAACACATGTTTTATAATTGAACAGCCTCATGATGGCGTTTCAACGGGTTCTGAGCGTATGAGACACTAACCTATTGACTTTTTTCTGTTGACTTTGTGATAAGTATTCAAAGCGCTGCACACGGACAGACGGAGGTTTATTAACCATTGTTCCAGTTGAGTGAAATGTACTATTACAATCGGCCACAGTGCCGCATGTTGAGATAACCATCGACCTCAAATTCAAACACAATCAAAAGATGATTTCAAGGGTCTGAACAGAGTTACACAGTAACCGAAATGGTCCAACAAATTTCCTATTTTTAACGGTTTAAATAATATTTAAGAAAACCTACTATGACGAGGGTGGGAGGGATAATAAGTTGTTTTTACATGATTTATGATTAAAACAGCCAGAGGAGTAAAATCGTATTTGTATTGTTACCTTCAGGGAGTCGTAGTGCTCCTGCCTGATCTCCTCATACTCCTCCTTCAGGTCCTCAAAGTACTCGTCCCTCATGGCCTCGTCCAGGAGTTGTGAGCACTGACAGACAGGAGGACACGAACACACACACACGCAAACCAACACACACACACACACACACACACACACACACGAACACACACACGACTGTGGTGACTGAAACATTCCTCACGCATTGAGCGAGTATTTTCCCCCCAAAGAGGTTCTCTTTCTTTGTTATGTGAATATGTGAAAAACGTTTGTAACAATTTAGACATTTTCTAATATTTTCTCTTGACCTGCTGGAGTAGAAAATCTGTAGGTTATCATAAGAGTCCCAAAGCAGCCAAAAGCAACCATTTCAAAAAGGGCTTTCATTTAAATCCATATGCAAAAACTATTTTATATTGCCCCAAAACCTATTTAGCCAATTTCTAAATACATTCGTACTCATGCTAAAAGAATACTATGGATTGAAAAATGTCTTACCACCACCACGCTCCTGGAGGCGTCCAGAACATGGATGGCAGGAGAAGTGTAGCGAGGGGCGATCTTCACTGCCGTGTGCATCCTGTGAAGAGACCACTGCCGATTAGAAGCAGTTATGGAAGAACCAAAAGGTGCACGTCACTCTTCAACAGATGTTACATAAAAGACCCATTATGGATTAATTATCCAAATGGATCAATTCAGACCCGCTGACAGCAGTGTCTCTAAAACCAGAGGACAGACCAGTCACCTGCGACGTCACTATAACGCCCATTTTCATTTCAACTGCATGTTCACAATTAGGAAGCGCACCGGTCTTCAGTTCTGTTTGGTTCTAGACCCCCCCCCTCCCCCTCCTCCTCCTCCTCCTCCTTTGTGTATTTCTTTGTGTTACTTTGATGTAGTGGCTCCTCCAATCAGCAGCGGCGTTGTCATTCCCAGTCTCTCCATCTCTTTGGCAACGTAGATCATCTCATCCAGAGAGGGGGTGATGAGACCCGACAGGCCGATGATATCTGCAGGAACAAACACCCCCCGGCGATGCAGCTGATTTTATACAAACGAAATACACATAACCTCAATCGATTGGATTGGCTCTTCATTTGCAACTTTGCCTACAAGTCCGTTTCTTCTTTTTGTGAAAGTAATATGACTGATATGTTCTTCATCATCATCTAGCAAATAACTAAATGATGGTCGTAATGTTACTATACGACTAAGCACAAACCCAATAATCAGCCATAATTTCCCTGTTGGCATGAAAACCTTACGATCTCGTCGGAATCTCGGACTGACTGATATGAAATCTTAAGTGCACACAGTACCTGCTTTATGTGTAATGGCCTCTCTGAGGATCCGATCACAGGGAACCATCACACCCAGGTCGATCACTCTGAAAGACGAGAGACATCCACAGATCTCTTTTCATCTGCCGGTTCCTTCTTTGCGGAGGTTCCTGTCTGCTCAGCGAGCATAGCCTGACATGTGCGTGAAATAAACCACTTCTACCTGAAGTTGTTGCAACCGAGCACCACGCCCACAATGTTCTTGCCGATATCGTGGACGTCCCCCTTCACTGTAGCCAGGACTATGGTGCCCTGGTAGGGATCCTGCAGACCAGAGAACAGGGTAAGGCCCATCATGAAGCTACTCTACTCCATCTTCCCACTTCATTATTTTCCTCCAGTGTTTCTAGAGAGACTCGTGTTTTCGGCTACACCTGAAATAAGGTGAGCCGCAGGGGGGCAACGCGGGGAACCAGCTGCTGTCTGACGCTGGGACCAAAAAAGAGCAAATGAATCCGTATTAAGTGGAGACTGACCATTTCCTCAGTCGACCCCGACAGGGCCATCATCTCCTCCCTCTCCTTCTCCATGAAAGGAATCAGATAGCCCACCGCCTTCTTCATTACACGAGCCGACTTGATCACCTGCAAAGACACACCGTCCTGGACTTTAATTACGGTTTCAAAACGTCCCAAATAGACCGACGAACAGATTTGTCAACTTCCAGTTCTGCAAAGTGAAGCCAACGCAAAAGTGCCTAAAATAACCTTCATTCCTGCAACAACACCACTGAATGTTCTGTTCGTGACCCAAAACCCATAGCGAACCGCAATACCAGTTACAATAGAAACTACTTTTGGGGTTTCGGCTTCGTTTCCGTCCTACCTGTGGAAGGAACATCTTGCCAGCCCCGAAGAGGTCCCCCACCACCTTCATGCCGTTCATCAGGGGGCCCTCGATGATGTGGAGGGGTCGAGTGTAGCGCTCCACCTGAGCCTTACACTCCTCCACGTCCTCCACCACATACTTGTCGATTCCCTGGCAGCAGCAACACACAACACACCATTACAGAAGAGAAGAGACGAACACAGGGGGGTTACTGATGATGATTGGCCAACTCAGAGGTGAGTTCACACGAGGAGTAGACAGCCATGGACACCCATACTCATGAACGCAGTCATGGCGGTATGTGGCCGGGCTCTTCGTGGTGAGGTCATCAGATGTTACCTTGATGAGAGCGTACTCCAACCTCTCCTCTACGTCCCCTTCTCTCCATTCGTCTGTCTGAACCACCTTCTTGGCTCCTTTCACGTGATTCTGTGGATAAAAGCCGCGAAGTCATCGCCATCTGTCGACTAAGCTGAAGCCAGAGTATCGCTGGTGTGAACCCGTGTGAACGTGTGTGAACGCGTGTGAACGCGTGTGTACCTGCGCGTAGGCCAGTAGTTTCTCAGTAGCCTCGGCGTCTTTGTTCCAGATGAGGTTTTCACACAGTGACAGCAGCTCTTTATCGATGTCGTCGTAGACCGGAAGGTTCCCAGCATTCACGATGCCCATGTCCATTCCATCCTGGAGACGGGACAGGGGACAGGGGACAGGCAGTGTCTGTGAATGCCCTCACCGGACTCCCTCCGGAGTTCATGTACGAACATACATTAATAACAAATACCTCAACCGACCAGCTCACGCAGCTGGAAGCTGCGGCAGCTCGTCTGCCCGCTTCCGCCCGTAGATATTAGTGAACAGTCACTTTAATGCCTCACATCTTCACACTTTGGAGGCTGGCTAACGTCTCACTGAGGTGGTCACAGTTTTATAGATAGTTTACACTTTATATTATGAACAGAAATGGATGAAAGCTCAAGTAGTTATGAACCTTAAGTATCACTTTCCAAGTCAGTAACGTTCCAAATGTTGAGAATAAATACACAAAAGGACCTGAACTCGGTTGCTTTGTTGCTTTTGTGGTTTGATTATAAACCAACTTTACATGTTGTTTAGTTTTAGGGAGGCAGGACGAAGCAGCATCAAGCTGAAGAACGATGCGTGTGGTGACATTCAGCTACTAGCTTGGACATATTTTGTAATATGTTACGGTTACAGTTTATTTGGATATTTAGGATTACAATTGCAATATTATTTTTAGCTAAAAGTTTATGATTTAACCGATTTCAACTTACAACGACTGGAAAATGTTCATTGCAAAAATATCTGAGAATAACTCCTCCAGATATCATGCTCCGGAAGCATATCTAGCCCAAAAAGGAACATTACCATCTCTATCTGCATTTTTAAGTTTTCAGGCTTTTACTATCAACCGCATGCAGCAGGTTGCTAGGCAACGGAAGCAGATGATGCAAGCAGAATGTCCCCCTGTAGGCCAGATCGTCCCCGTTCAAGGGCCGCTTGTTTCAGCCTCTACCTGGAGGTCTCAGCCCAGGTCAGATCGCTGCGTGTCAGTGTTTACCTTGATGGCGTGGTAGAGAAACGCTCCGTGCATTGCTTCTCTGATGGCCTCCATTCCTCTGAAGGAGAAGGACAGGTTGGACAGACCTCCACTCACCCTCGCCTTTGGTAATTTCTCCTACGCGAACAAACACACACACACACCCAATACATGTTTGACCTGAGAGGGAGCGCCGCACGAGGAGCGGACCACCTGTGCATGAAGGGAGCAAAGCAGCGGCGGTGGTTCTACCAAAATCACCTTGATAACTTTGGTGGCTCGGATGAAGTAGATGGCGTAGTCGTTATGTTCCTCCATGCCCGTACCGATGGTGAGGATGTTGGGGTCAAAAATGATGTCGTTGGGGTCAAATCCAACTTTGTTGACTAGCAACTGGTACGCCCGGGTGCAGATCTCCACTTTGCGGTCTGTATCGGCGGCCTGCAGTGGGACGGCAGACTTGTCAGCTCATAGGGGCGAGTCCTCTGTGTGAAAGGGTGACACAAAATAATCTTTGTCGCTCACCTGTCCCTCCTCATCGAAGGCCATGACCACCACAGCAGCTCCGTAGCGCTTCACAGTGGCGGCCCTGTGCAGGAACTCCTCCTCCCCTTCCTTCAGGCTGATACTGTTGACTATACACTTCCCCTGACAGCATTTCAACCCGGCCTCGATCACTGAGAAGTTAGACGAGTCGATACACAGAGGAACCTGGGGAGGAGGAGGCAGGCTGGTTATCAACAGGATCACGAGTTGACCAGGAGAGAATACAAGCAGAAATAAAATGCAAGCACACAACTGTGCAAAGTCAAAGTAAACAAAACACGTCATATTTAATATCAATACACGAGGACTGGAGCGCACAACTTTTAAAAGAATGACATGCTTTGCAACTTTGACCTGAATGCTAACGTCAGCATACTAACATGTGCTAATGACAATGCTAATATGCTATGTTTAGCAGAGATAATGTTTAGTTTAGTTTAGCTCACCGTCTTAGTTTAGCATGTTAGCAAGCCAATATTTGCAAAGTAGCACAGAACACAAGTAACAGCTGAGGCTAACTGGAACGTCATCAGCCTGCAGGTGTTTGTTTATACCCAAAACTCTCAAACGGTTGACCCGATGCTGGTAATAGACGAAACGTCAAATTGCTCTGGTTTTGATATCCATGATGTGCATTCAGCAGCTGCTGAATTATTTGCTTCCCAATCCAAAAGCTGAACCCAGTGGATGTTGGTTTCATCTGCAATACGCCCAATGCGGAGACATGGCAAAACAATCGCTTCAACATGCGTTCTTTGCAACTCTTACCCGAGCGATGTCCGGCTCAGAAGCAATTAAGTTACAAAACCGGGCCATCGCCGAGGGCCCCTCCAGCATCCCTTCGTCCATGTTTATGTCCAGCACCTGGGCTCCCATCTCCACCTGGGCCTTGGCAATGCTTAGAGCCTCCTGGACATCAAACAGGGAAACGCATCCCAAATAAACAACTGTGGGCAGGCTAGAATTTGAGCTCCGCTCCGGACGGTATCAGAGTTTTGGACAAATGAAACATAATTCCAACGCTAATCAAAATAGTATTCAATCCGTCTCACCTCGTAGTTTCCTGCCATGATCAACTTGGCAAACTTGCGTGAACCGGCCACATTGCAGCGCTCGCCGATGTTAACGAAGTTGGTGTACGGGCCAATCCTGAACGGCTCCAAACCTGGAAAGACACATTTCATCACGTCAACTCTCCGCTTTAACAGGCATTAGTGGATGGAAGGGGCATTTCTACATGACATGTTTGATGTATGCCGGTTGCTGAAGGGGTGTAAAGGAAAGGATCAAATAAAAGCTACTACGTCTACTCTATTATTACTTTGACTGGAATCCCTATTGACTTGTAGAATGTATACAGCTGTGAAGCTCCACCAGGTGAATCTCAAAATAATCTCCATTTGAAGCATGCAGGGATGTTAGAATGTCACACTTATTACTAGGGTCTTAAAATCTTACATTTCATATAGTATCAGGTATTTAAACAATCTAAATAATTCACTCTGCAGAATTGGAGGCTGCTGCCTGGATACAAGCGGTATCACAAGTCAGGATGGGGCCAGACGGTTAGCGAGCTCATTTCAGTAAATGTGTCCGCAGCACAATACGAAGACGCCTTTGACTGGAACCTCTTCACGATGTTATAAACTTCTGCCCACATCTGACATGATTCCCCTTAATACTCTTAAAATCAGCAGGCTTCTAATGAGGAGTGGACCACTTAAGTAAATAAATACATCACTATATGAGAATTCACAGTATTCAAAGTCATCTGACCACACGCTTTACTCACTACTTATATTTTCTACCAAGCAGAATAAAGAGGATTTTGCGAGATGAAAAGGTCTCACTGAAGAGAAGACACATATTACAGACTGCCTCTGTTAAGTCTTTAGTACCCGACAGCAGCATGTAGTCTTGATAAATATCTGCAGCAGGAACTCTTGGTTGACAGTGTTTGACTCCTTCAGCAATGGCTCTAAGTGAGGAAGAAGGGAAGCGTATTTAAACATCTTCAGTAGCATAGAAGCTTTGAAGTTTTCTTGTCAGAAGAAAAAAAGCCCCTGACCTGATGTGCCCAGGAGTGGTCCCACAGCAGCCCCCAACAATATTCACCAGTCCATCCGTAGCAAACTCCTGCAGACAAATGCAACGCCTCCATACGTTTATAAACCCACGATGGTGCTCAGAATAATGCTTTTTGAGTTGTGGGTAAATAAAGAATGGCAGCACAATTATGTTTTTATGTCATGTCACATTATGCACCGTGATGACGACTAGTACCGTAACACCAAACAGCCGCCTTAACAATAAATAACTGCACAGAATACAACCTTTAAATTGGAGGCTGTTACTTCTGGAGTTTCGTCGTACCCGCCGAATGTGTTGGGAAGACCTAACCAGAAAGAAAGATATACAACATGAGGACATCATCCTGGCTGGCATGATACATTAACAAAATACACAGGCCAATTACAGATGTAATTGTAAATGTAAATGTTTGTGTCCAAGTACAACGTGCCAAACATTCATGCGTTCGTTCATTCATCATAAAGATAATTCGCAAAAGGAATTTTTGTATTTGACTTTTCTTATTCAGTCCACTGATGTTTCAACCTTGTGATTACTTCATTAAATGAATATATGTGAACTGTGCAAAACCTAAAGAAAGCAAACTATTTAATAGTCTAACCCACAGTAAGTTGTTGAGTATGACTTCCAATATATTTACTCGAATCAATTAAAAAAAGAAAGCATCTTTTAAAATCAATTGTAATTGTTCTCCAACTTCTCAAGGCCTTTTCAACAATAACGACTAGAATGTGACACAAGTGTGGAGTTAAGGGCTCTAAAGACTCCATGCGGTCCGTTTCCCTGTTGCAAGCAGTCGTTCTAATAAATTCTCTGAGGAGCGGGACGCACATCTTTACACGCAAGTGCTTATTTAGCTGCAGAATGTACCCAAAGGGCTGCACTGTGATGAAGGTTGACGGTTACCTGCGTTGGGATAACAGATAATGAAAGCCGTGGTGCTTTTTCCGATGGCTTCAATGAACGGCCTCATCTCTATTGCCCCCAAAGCGCAGTTCAGACCAATGCTGCAACGCAGAGGGGGACAGAGCCAGTGGGTGGAGCACGGTAGGCGATGGGTTTGTGTGCATGTGCGCGCGATGCACCGTCACTCACCATAGAGGATTCATGTGGGAAACGCTCACTACAAAGGCTTCTCCCGTCTGGCCGGACAGAGTGCGTCCACTCCGGTCCACGATGGTCCCCGAGATCTGTGCACCGAGGGGGAGGGGAGGACGGGTTGAAGGACACGCGTCTCGTTTTGAAGCTTTATTGGATTGGAATACACAAATAACACAACTCGCGGAAAAAGAGAAATGGTCACATGGCCGCACATTTCACCCACGCGTGGACCGCTATCCAAGAGATTATGAATTAAGGATCAGGATAAACTTACAAATATAGGTTTCCTTTCGTAGCTCTTCTGGAACAGCAGGTCGATGGCAAACAAGGCGGCCTGTCGAGGGACACACATGAGCACAAACATTTAAAGCTCCATTAAACGAGTAGGTCATTACGAAGTCATTTTCATATTGATTAAACTACTAACTAAACCACTGCTGCCCTTCTGTAATCAGCGCTCTCTGCCCTCAGCTGTATGAAACTAGTCTAATTAATAAATAAACTAGTGTTAAGCAATCACTATTGGCTTGTTGGTACCTTGGCGTTGGCAGTATCAAAGATGGTTTCAACCAGAAGGATGTCCGCTCCTCCGTCCAACAGCCCTCTGACCTGCTCCGAGTAGGATTCCACCAGCTCGTCAAACGCTACACAAAACAGAAGACGCCTGTCAGTCAAAGTAATCACGTCCCCACATCACATTGCTGGGAGACGCATTTACATATGGCACAGGTCTTTACCGACAATGCCATCGGCTTAGTTCTAGTGCTGTGCCTGATAGCAGGTCACGGCGACGAGGAATACGGGTCACCTGATGGATCAAAGCTGAATGTTCTACGTGACGAGTGGCTTTCTTTGTTCGCGGGCGTAACCCACAGCGTGTTACTTTAACGTGTCCTGAAACGCAAAGAGACGACGACAAGCGAGCGAGCGGGCGGTCGGTCATCTTACTGATGTTCCTGAAGTCGGGCCTCTCCACAGACGGGGACACGGACAGCGTCTTGTTGGTGGGACCCACTGCACCGGCCACGTAGCGTTTACAACCTGTTCACACGCGGGTCACAGCCGGGGTTACACACACTCACACACACACACACACACGAGGAGATGCCAGGCGTCTCTCTACGGATAATGACGTGCCGCTGCGAGGCGTTAAGTTTAGCTGACCAGTCTGTCTGGTGACTTCGTCGGCCGCCCTCCTCGCCAGCTCCGCAGACGCCCTGTTGAGGCGATACGCCTGTGACGGAAAACGCACAACACGCTTTGACTTTCAAAGTATTTGCAAGGGTTGTGTATTGGTCAGACAAGGTTACGCATAATAATACAGTAGTTATGACACACAAAATGTGTTTACAATGACTGAATACAAGACGTTAGAACCTAAACACAGCTCGTACAATGAAAGATTTGACCACATTATCTGCTGTTGGCCTAAAATAGCAATTAAAAAGAAAAACGTTTTTTGGGGATCCACACGTTCCCAGAAAACAAAACATCCTGATGCAGTTTGGGTCTACGAGTATTCACTATTGTTTGTGAGCTGAAATAGCCTCATCGTGTCCCTGTGTGTAAAAATCCCAAAGACAACGACAGCTAGAACCATCGGCATCATCATTTCAAGTCATTTATAGAATTTTTGATTGCTTACAAATTACAAATTACTCCTCAAGGCCAAAACAACACAGTACAGTGTTGTCCAGCTGACAAACTTTTGCTTGCCGAGTGCAGGGAGGATTGTGGAGCTTCTGGTGGAGATAAGAGCGAGGTCACAGTACGAGGTAAGAGCACACAGACGCATGTAGCCTGCAGATTTTAACCACGCGGGGAAACGCTGACAAAACGGCAGAACTTGATATTAGGCGTGGATCCAACGGTGACTGGCGGGGTGTGTTCTAATGTGCGACGGCTGGAAGGATTTATCCACATGTTAGGACACCATACCATGTGTTCCAGTCCGTAGTCCGCCTGGGCGACAGAGGTGCTGCTGAACGTGTTGGTCTCTATGACGTCCGCACCGGCCAGCAGGTAGTCCTAGAAGCACCGAGGACACGGGTCAGACACCGGCGGCGGTTCGCACGGGGTGCACAGTAGTGCACAGTGAGGGCCGTGGATTATCCACGACACATGCAGAGTTTATTTAACGTCATGTTGCACAAACTAGACACCGCATCGGCGTCAGAAAACTATCAACGCGCAATCCTGAAACTTACTACATGCTCGACATCACACAAGGCGAGTGCGCCAATGCGCCCTGAGTGAGCACGGGCCCGTTGTGTTTGCCCTGAATAAACAGGTTACCTTGTGTATGTTGTAAATGATATTGGGCTGTGTGAGGCTCAGGAGGTCATTGTTGCCCTTCAGTGGAAGAGGGTGGTCTTTAAATTCTTCGCTCCTGAAATCTTCCTCTTCTAGTTTATGCTGCTGGATCATGGTTCCCATGCCGCCGTCCAGGACCATGATCCTTTGCTGCAGCACCGCCCTCAGCTCGGACTCTAATGGACAACGGCATCCTGGAACCGAAAGAGAAATCACATTGATCAGGGTTTTTTACCGTAAATGTTTTATAGAATCAAAACAGGTCATAAAGTTAGCGTAACAAAAATATTAACAAGTAACGGGTTGCCAATATATTGAAAAAGATGCATGTAGCTACGTAGGTACGGTAACAAACATTTACCATAAGTACAGTTCATATTTTTTGGTACCATTTGAACTATATATATAAAAATATAAATTATATAATATAAATATGTCTATTTATATATAAATTATATAGATACATAAATAAATATATATATATATATTTATAAATAAATATATATAAATATAAATATAAAATATATATATATTTATAAATAAATATATATAAATATAAATATATATATATATATAAATATATATATATATATATATATATATATATATATATATATATATATAAATTATATATGACATACAGATGGGAATTTGAAGAGGTTACACACAAAACAATAACAAAGAACAGGGAAACTGAATTAGTTGGATTCATCAAAAAAGGCAGCTTAAAAAATTCTAATTCTAATTCATTCCAAAGTATTTGTTGCCAGATGTTAAATTTAGTGTTTACATTCAAAAAGATTAAACTGGAACACAACTAGTTAACTCTCATAACTTGTCAACGCACTGCACGCGCGCGCGCACTGGAGCCCGCGCGGCGCGCGCACGGGCACGTTAACACGCGGTGTCACAAGTGAACAGCAATGCCTTGAGTTCAGTAAGACAACGTGTCACACACACATAGCGACGCGGGCTAACGGTTAACAGATACCGCTGCTAACACAGAGGACGCCACGCGAGTGTATTTACCCGCTTGTGAGGAGTTTTGAATGGCATTAGTCGGAGCCATGTTGTGGAGAGGCCGCATTGAAGCCCACGCAGTCGCAGCTGAAGCGTTATAAAACCATCTGGCGCCTCAGCAGCTACAGCTCCTTCCGGCGTCCTTCAAAATAAGAGCCTCAGGACAACTCAAATCACTTTCCCCCCTACACCGCAGTCAATAATTAACTCTTTCAAGATGTCAGTATGAAACCTGTGTGCATTACAATCTAAATCGACTGTGCTCTTTCAATGCATAGGGATATCCTTAAAATAAATCGGATGTTTCGCAGAAGTAGCTCAGCACACTGGAGGCACATGTGTGATGCTATAACAAAAGATTGTCGTGCAGAATGTTGATTAATAAACCACCTGTATTATGCAATGTATTGTATATTAAAGGCATCCTAGCCATCACAAAAAGCTGCTCCCATTCGCCGTACTTATTGTAGAGAAGAATAAATACAAGCACATTCATTTGTATTGTATTTGTGGAATATATTCATCTGCCATTTAACGGACTATGTTTTATTTGCGTTTGATGTCATAGCACCACCAGGTGACTGATTGTATATCACTTTATATTCTGGTTAATAATTCCTCAATCACAAGTTCTAAAATCTGAATTTGCTTTAACTGGATTCCTCCATCCGTCCAATCTGCCAAAGGGTCTTTCAATTAGAAACACATCATTGCGTTTATAGAGCGATAGTTTCCTTAACTAAAACAAGTTCCAAAAGTCAGATCACTTTCCTTTTACATCAGATCTTTAATATCAATACATCTAAAAAATACAAGTAAAACAGTCCCGCCAAAGTTCTGAAACGCATGTCAACAGTCCAACGAGCAGACGGAACATCTCAGTCTGCAGAGGCTTTTCCTTGTGAGTCAGATCCAGTGAGTTAGTCGTCCTTGGACGCCCCCTTCAGACTGGACCGCTGCTTCCTCTTGTCCTCTTGGCCCATGACGCGGTACAGTTTTTTCCGGGACTCCTTCTGTCTCTTCAGCTTGGCCTCCTCCTGCTTCCCCTTCTGCTGCAGGAACTGCTTGTGTTTGGCGTGCTGCACCTGATGGGCTTTCTTCCTCTTGAAGTTATGAACCGTGCTGAGAGCGTGGAGAAGGGCCGCCACCTACAGGAACGGGACAAGTGTCATGTTTAACTAAAGGGTCATCGGGCAGCTCACACACACTGGGATCCGTTACTACAGCATTTATTGGGGAGTCTTGATAAAAAAATAAAAATGTTTAAAAACAAAAACAGGGAGGTGGGGCTCCTGTGCCGATGTGACGGTGCTGAGACAGAAGATGTTTTATGTATAAACATATAGTAAAGCCATCTATGGCATATTTGGGATTTTGAGCTTTTTATTAATTAACAAATGCTCCATCTCAAGTGAGCCTGTAGAGTCCGGTTCTGCTCACCTTCTTCTCGTGGGGCTCTCTGATCACACTGGGCCTCTGCAGATCTCTGGGTGTCTTCCCTTTGGGTTGCTGCAGTTTGGGTTTGCTCTTGAAGGGCAGCGCCTTCTGCAGCTCCTTGGGGATGTGCAGGCGGTTGAATTGCCGTTTGGTACGGACCACCGGCTGGAAGGGAAAAGGATGCACGCGTCAAGTCGGGATTTCTACTTCGCGGTCAGATAACAAGCCAGTCAACACTGGGCTCGTCGCACCATTCCCACTTCAGTTGGACGACAAATGATGATTATCTTAAAATGAATTACAAAGAAACCTCAGTAAAACTCCCTCCGCTTCAATGTGATCGGGGTGTCTACTCCACCTTGTACAGAGAGTCTACATTGGGCATGTAGCGGATGCCCAGGTCGTGTTTGAGCTGTCCCAGGGTCCTCATGCCCGCCCAGCTGTCCTTCTGACCGACGGGCAGCAGCAGAGAGGTGACGGGGTTGTAGAGCTGAGGAACGGACACCGGAAACCAGGAGCGCAGGAACACGACGTCTGCACAGCGACACACACACACACACACACACACACACACACACACACACACACACACACACACACACACACACACACACACACACACACACACACACACACACACACACACACACACACACACACACACACACGTTGAGAAGCAGAACATCATTGTGCTGTTCCACTTTACATAAAGGTACCTTTCCTCCTTCAGAACAACAACCTACCAACAGACACTCACCACTCATGAGCAGGCGGTCCTCAAACGAGGCTCTGAACGCTCCTTCTGGCGTAGACAGCGCCTTCTTGATCATACCTCTGACGCCCGAGACTGTCCGCACAGAGGCACCTTCGAATTTAGCCACCTCCAGCACCGTGTTGAACATGCCCTGTGACACCGAGGCAGCATTCAATCGTAACGCTGCACATCAGTCGTACAACTTATTCGTCATACTGCCTTTTCACCAGAGAAATAAACTAATTGTGTTGAATTTGGTTGAAAAGAAATCGAGCTATACAATATGTATCATGATATGGTTACTATTAAATACATGGAGCTATACTACGATTTACAAAAACTCTTAGTATCTGCCTTCATCCGAATTCTAAGAAAATAAGGTGCCTGTAGGATTCTTTAGGTAAATCGTCTTTTCTCGCATCCATACCTGAAAAAGGAACTCAAATAAACATATTGTGATCCAACACATCTGATCTGTCCTGTTTTTATTTTAAACCCAAAAGCTGTAGAGGAACTGTAGACCTAAACTACAGAATCAAAGGAGACACAAGAGTAAATAAAAGTGTCCCCACCTTAATGAAGGAGGTGTTCTTAAAGATCTTGTAGGGGTAACCGATGAGTTTGAGCTTCTTCACTACAGTCACAGACTTATCCAGGTCCAGGATCACTCCTGTGGCTGCGATACGGAAATTAGCCTGCAGAGAAAAAAGGAATTCATAAGTAAACTACATACAGATGGAAAATAGAAATACTGTAAAAACCGTGTCAGCATTTTGACTACATCTATATATGGAGCAAACATTCAGCAGAAATGGAAGATTTGAAGCTTTAGAAACACAGATCTCTGAGAACGCCACATTGTGAACAACACATCTATTGAAATGAGCCACAACAGCTCCACAGCTTAAACGTGACCGTGTGTTTTTACGTTTCATATTGTAAAATGTAGTTTGTGTTGTTTTCACAGCAATATAAAAAAATACTAACGCCTCCAAAAATGTTCAAAGCAGGTATTTAACTAAAACAAGGACTTATTTTCTTGATTGTGTTTACATGCAAATAACCACATTAATTGACAATAACTCAAAACAATAAAATTCTGAATTGTATGAAATACTATTATTCTTTCCTTTTTATCAAAAGGCCTGGATTTGTCACTGCAGACAAGAACGTTTGGCTTTTGGCGAAACATCCAAGCCTCTAGTAGTGGTGCCGTGTTGTCTGAAGAGTTCAGACGCTGGGCCTCGGCTGCGTGAGGGACTTACCTTTGCTCCTGCTACTGTCTGCACAGCCAGGAAGCCGGTGCCCTGCGGCGTGACAGGACCTTCAGCGACACAGAGGGGAGGGAGAACGCCGCTCATCATTATCACATACAGAAGTCCACGCTATCTGCTTTGAACCGCGTCTGCTTTCTGGGAAAGTTATGATAATCATCGTTTGTTCGTGTTATACATTTTCTAATCTCTAAAAGAATACTGCTGCTTTGAGGAATTGCCACTCTGTGTTGATTTTGGTGGCCTGCGTAAGGAAAAGTGGTGGTGTTCACCAGCGCCAGACTCCCTTCACAAAGCCTCTCATTTTACAGCAGCTCCTGGTTCTCCTGGTTCTCCTTCCCTCCACTGTTGTGCACCGGTGCTGCCGGAGTCCCACTTGAAGGCGTTTCTAGTCAACCTGCATAACTCTGTCCCATTTGGCCAGAAATCAGACTCGTTGGCACTGATGACGAGCGTTCAGATAATCTATGTAGTGAAATGTTCTTGCAGGTGACAAAGAGGCATCAGTATTATTTAAAATGTAACAATTTCATCCTCTACAAGTGTGCTTGTCTCTTAGAGCTGAATTACAACCACAGAGGTACACAGACATCACGTAGAGGGAAAGTTTACGGCCGTGAGCAGCAAGAACTTAATCAGAATGAGACGTTGAGCCTGAATGAGTGCACAGTCCATTTTGTGTGACCGTGTCTCACCCCAGATGGAGGCTCCACAGTGCATGTGCTGCGGCGTGTATTTAAGCAGGCGGTGGCGTCCGTTGTGGTCCTCGATGTGGTAGAGGGGGATGGTCTGGAAGCGGCGCCAGCCAAGCGACAGGATGAGGGGGTCTCGCGTCTTCAGGATGCGGTTATACCAGCGGTGTTTCTTCAGCCGCATCTGACATGCACACAGATCCAGATGTTAGCTTCATTCTGTAGGAACCTGAGGACTACAGTATGAAAAACTGGGACTTGTAGAGTTACTTGAAGGGCTGGTTCAGGGTTTTTGAAGTGTACCTCTCCACGGTCCACGTGCTAACTACTTAGAAACAGAGCAGCATCAGCACAGGAGTTGAGTGTTTTAGACGTTTAAAACGTGCTCAGATCTTCTGCTATATGTTCAAAATGTTCACCGGTTTATCTGTCAGTGTAACTGAAGCAGCTGAATCGATCTACGCTCTCAAAGCCACCAGTGAAATGAACCAACAAACAGATGGAGGTAGAAGTGAGAGATAAAAATAATAAAATAAACAAAGGGTTAGGCAACTAGTGTTCATTTACCGTAGTGACCTGCCTTAAGCAGTTTAAATAAACAAAAGTCCAAGTAACATCTGTATATAAATATTACTGACACTGCATGACAATAAGTAATCCAGCATTTCTTCTCCATTGAATGGTGAGATGAAGAACATTATTAACAGGATTACTGCTATAGATCTAATTCCTCCCGTCTGAACCAGTGGTCTTTTGAATGGCAGCACCAGATAGTGTACCTAGTCTTGACCAAACGCACCTGCAGGTATCCAACGTTGCCCTCAGCGGAGCTCAGACCTCCGAGGATGATGGGATAATGGGGATCAAAGTTGGTAACAAACTCGCAGGGTAGGCTGGGGATTTCTAATCGGACGTACATTCCTGGGCGGAAGCCTTCGTATTGCACTCTGGTCTCATCGTCCACGCCGTCGAACTCGGCCCTGT